GGGAGTTCCCTTTTGTAGTGTGTATATAGTTTTCTTTATATATATATATATATATAAATTTAAAAATTCATTCGGTTCGGGTTCTTTTGGTTTTTTTTACGATCGGCTGGGAGAAAGTGAAAGGGAGGGGGAAGGCTTTGTCCCCGGGGTCCAGGGACTTGGCTGGGAGCCAAGTCCAACCTGGGACACCACCTCTCTCAAAACACTGTCTGCCAGCACAGTTCTCGTGCTCCCTCTGATTTCAGTTTTCTAGTTTAGCATTCACACATTTCAGCAGAGGTGCCATATCATATCTAACTCCTCAAGGATCCACTTCCCTGGGAAGGACCGGCACACGTTGGGTTTATCCAAAATTTTGCACTGGGGGGAAAAAAAATATATAAAATCCCTGCAGATCTGCAGGATGATTGCTTCATTCTAAGGCTTCCTACTTTAATTAGAGTAAAACTACAGCTAAGGTGGAGCATCTTTAATTCCTGTAGCTGGAAGGCAATCCCACGTCACCGAGGCAGGCTTGGTCCCACCTGGATAAGGACCCCGGGAGCCTGTGGCTGTCAGTTCAACTGGCACCTCGAATGCAGGAACTTAAAAAGGGATTTAATTCTGGAATCCCACTGGGAAAAGGAGGGTTTACCTTCTCAGCCAGGACGTTTTCCAAGTTCCTCTGCAGTTTGCTTGCCAAACTTTCGCACTCGGCCAGTTTTTCTCCCGTTTCCAGCAGCTCGCTCTCCAGGCGGCTGTTTTCCTGGGCCAAACAAAAACACACACACCCCCCAAACAACACCCTCAGCATTTGGAGGAGGAAAATAAAAGCTTGTGGTAACTCATTCAAAAAAAAAAAAAAAAAAAGGAGTTACTGCTCCCAGTCAAGCTGGAGCATGACACTGTTCCAAGCTTCAGCCAAAGGTGGGGATTACGAATCCACGTGCACAAAACCCACTCCTGCCACAGCAAGTGTGAACGCTGGATTTGTGCAAAGGATCAAAAGGCATAACAGCAAGTTTGCTTTAGATGTTTGGGGCTTTTTGAAATTTGTTTTTAAAGCAGCATTTTAACCACTGTCAAGGTGTTTTATCTCCTGGCTGGACAGGAAAAGATCCAGCAAGGCAGCCGTGCACACACGGGCTCTGCACTTGATGGCAGCAGAGATATGAACTGGAGCCTCAAGAATCCAAGGAACGGCCCATGGAGGTGACCCAAAAACTGATTCTCACAGACACACACCTATCTTGCTGCTTCAACTCCTTTTGGCCAGCCCAACACACACCATAAAACACATCCCCTCCCCAAGCATCCCTGCCCGCTCAGGACATCCCTCCCTTTCGGGGAAAACCCCGACTCTTGGGTCCCCCCCGTTACCTTCAGGGACAGGGCCAGGCGGTCCCGGGTGTAATTCTCATCCGTCTTCAGCTTTTCAATCTCCTGCTCCAGCTCCAGCCTCTGTTTGTTGGCCTGCTGCAGGATCTGCTCCCGCTCTCTGCGCAGCTCGTTCTTCAGAGCCGCGATTCGCTCCTTGTACTCCTCGTCCAGCTTCCTGCGAAGGCACCGGGGGCCAGAAGAGCTCGTTAGAAGAAGAAGAAGGTGGCAACCACTGCTGGGGGTGAAGGCAGTACCTGTGCCTGGAGCAGGGGAGGGCTGGTTTGGGACACCACACCTGAGGTTGTACTCGTTGCGGCGCTCGATCGCGGCGTGGTGATCGTCCACTTCCGAGGCCATCAGGGATTTCAGCTTCTCGGCCTTCTCCAAGTCCGAACGCAGCTTCTCCTTCTCTCTGGCCACTTGGTCAAACCTCTCCCTAGGGGAAAGCAGAGCCATCCTGGGTTAAGGTCACCCAGGATGTTCCCCCAAAGGTTTTCTGGGGGAGAAGAACAGTTCGGAAAGCTCAACAAGGGTCTCATCAGCTGCATTTAGTCACTAGATTTGAACTTGCACCCACAGCTCCAGACATGTCTTAATATCCCCATAGGTCCTGAGACCTCAAGTTTCCCAAATTTATCAAATCCTGGAATAATTTGGTTGGAAAGAACCTTAAAGATTATCCTGTTCCACCCCCTGCCATGGGCAGGGACACCTTCCACCAGCCCAGGTTGCTCCAGCCTGGCCTTGGACACTTCCAGGGATCCAGGGGCAGCCACAGCTTCTCTGGGCAACCTGTGCCAGGGCCTGCCCACCCCCAGAGGGAAGAATTCCTTCCCAATATCCCATCTAACCCTGCCCTCTGGCAGTGGAAAGACATTCCCCCTTGTCCTGTCCCTCCAGCCTTTGTCCCATATCCCTCTCCAGCTCTCTTGGAGCCCCTTTAGACACTGGAAAGGGTCTAAGGTTTCCCTGGAGCCTTCTCTTTTCTGGGCTGAACACCCCTAGCCCTTCCAGCCCATCATATCTGAGTATGAATATTCTGAATCTCTAAACTATTCAAAGGTTTGCAGCACAAACAAAACACCCCGAACAGCTGGAGCTCGGGCACGTGGCAGATGGGATGCAACAATCACAACAGGAGTGAATCCACACAAAACTGAGGGGGCAGTGCTTAAAGCCAAGGTCTCCAAAGCGGGGTGGACAAGATGATCAGTTGGTGTGTGGGAAGATTTGAGCTTCAGTAATACGTATATATAAGCTATAAATTAATAAATATACATAGAGGGAAACATTTCTCATCTCCCACACTCTCTCAACAGAGAAACCTGCAGGGCAGGTCCAGTGCAAAGTCAAACTGTGTTGACTTTCTAATGAAAACAGGGGGGTTGCACAGTGACTTTGTACCTGCCCCTCACGGCTATCACATGGCAAAAGCTCTGGGATGCAAGAAATCAGTTTGGATTAAAGGTACTGACAACAAACTGCACCAGCCTCTGTCCTATGCTGTGCATTCTTTAGCCATCCATGACCCCTGGGGGGATAGCAGTGACCACTTCCAGACTGGTCCCAGACTGGGAACAACATCCTTTTTTTTCATTTTTTAAATTTTTTTTTTTTAAATTTTCCAACTACATTTTTCTGCAATCCTTGGGGGCGAGCGTTTGACTCACAGGAGGTGCCTGATCTCCGTCTTGAAGCTCGCCAGGGCTGCCTGGTGGACCCCATTCTTGGTGATCAGCAGCTCGTTCTCCAGTGCCAGCGTCAGCTCCGTCAAGTTCACCTTCCCATCCAAGCTGAAGTCCAAAGCCTGCAGAAGCAACGCGTGGTTAGAGCGGAACGAGCTTCCCTGCCCCGCAGGGAGCCTGGAAATGCTCGGACGTGGAGTGACAGGATGAGACTCGAGGAGGCTCGGAGGAGATCTCGGCTCGCTAATTAATCTGTCACAAACACCACCCCCCCGGGGCAATAAACCAGACGTCTCTGCCACCTCCCGGCGTTCCAGAGCCGCTGCCAGCCGTGGAGATGGGAAGTGTCCCCGGCTGAGCTGCGAGACCGACAGGAAATTAGGCCCAGGCCTGATGGAATGGCACTAATTCTCCGGAGGATCCAACGACACTTCCCGAACAGCAACTGCTGCAACAAAGTGGTGGGAGATGCTGATACTGAACAGAAGCAGCTCTTGCAACAGAGGCAACACAAAAGCAGGAAGGATTTGGTGGCGAGGATCTCACCTCTGAGAAAGCGAGTTATCGGCAACTGCTGGGAATTTTACGGAATCCCAGAGGGGTTTGGTTGGAAGGGACCATCTTAAAGACGGTCTCATTTCAGACCCTCTGCCATGGGCAGGGACACCTTCCACTGGACCAGGTTGCTCCAAACCCTGTCCAACCCGGCCTAGGGAAGAAAGGCCTTCCCTTTTGTATTCCAAACTCACATGGACATTGGCACTTGAGGTCATATTTTAGTGGCGAACAGGCAGCTGATGGTTGGACTCGATCTTGGAAGTCTTTCCCAACTTAAATGATCTCCTAATTCAATCTAACTCTGCAGGAGAACAAAGCAAAGTGCTTGTGGTGGGGCTGAAACAC